CCAGATTTGAAAACTAGGTCGGAAAATACACTTTTCATGAAAAAAGAAATTTATTTATTTATTTTATGAAATAGTTAAGTGTTTACACATCATAAAACTCCATGCGCCCTTTTCATGACTATTTCTCCTTTACTCACTAGTTTATCTATATTGATAAATTCTCAATTTTAGCAAAAATAAGGTCATACTTAATAGGAAAACTTTGTTCTCAACTCTTTCTCAAACATATTTCAATCGGTGACTCCCAAACATCACCTAACCAATGATCCGATCACCATGGTGATGACACAATCCATTTACAATTATTCAAGCAACAACTACACATAATGACCACTATAAGGTTAAATAAAACAAACGAATGGGTTAAATATCACAAGCTTGGGAAGTTGCATCCCATTCATGACCACCACTACAATCCACCACTACAATCGACCAATTGCTCATTATTTATTTTATGTTTGCATCATTAATTTTCACAATTAAATCAAGCTAATTTTCCTTAGCCTCTAACGAAGAGAATTGTCTGAGTAATTGTAGTTCAACGATATTAATTTTTTGGGTGGATCAACGATATTAATTTATAACTTAAACGCCTCATTTAAGGTTTTCTAAATCACCTAAGTGTTCAATTGTCAAGTCGAAAGGATGAATTTGAATTCCGGTTGATTTTCTTCCAATTTCTCTTTCTTTTCTATGACCTTCTCTTCTTGCCCTCAAGAAGAAAGTTTCTCCGTAACTTCCTCCGTCCCTCTCATTCCTTCTTTCTTTTGTTCTAAGAACTAATTAGGCTTGGTAAATAATTCTTTCATAAGCTTAAGTGACCGAGTTTAACTAAAACTAATCCTGCTTAGCTTCCAAGATACATAATTTTCTAAGCAATTGTAACTTAACGATACTCGTTTAAGTTAAGTACCTCATTTATGGTTTTCTAAATCAACTGTGAGTGTTCAATTCTCAAGTCATAAAGGATGAATTTGAATTCCTTTCGATTTTCTTCATATTTCCCTTTCTTTGCCCTAACTTCTTTTTTTCTTTTTTCTTTTTCCCAGCTCCGAAGAGGAAGCTTCTCTGTAACTTTCTCCGTTCCTCTCCTTCCTCCTCTCTTTTGTTCTACATACTCATTAGCTTAGGTAACAAATTGTTTCATAATCTTAAGTGGCCAAGTTTAACTCAAGCTAATCTTGCTTAGCCACTGAGATAGCGAACTTTCTGAGTAATTGTAGGTTAACGATATTAGTTTAACATAAGCACCTCATTTAAGATTTTCTAAATCACCAAGGTATTCAATTCTCAATTTCACAAAAATTGAATTTGAATTCTCTTTGAATCTCCTCCTATTTCTGTTTCTTTTCTCTAACTTTCTCTTGCTAGCTCTCAAGAAGGAAGGTGTTTCTCTGTAACTCTCTCCGTCCTTCTGCTTCCTTTTCTCTTTTTGTTCTAGAAACTAATTAGCTTAGGTGAGTAATTGTTTCATAACCCTAAGTGGCGAAGTGTAACTCAAACTATCCTTGCTTGGCCTCTAGGAAAGAGAATTTTCTGAGTAACTGTAGCTCAACGATTATAGTTTAATATAAGAACTTCATTCAAGGTTTTGAAATCGCCTAAGTGTTCAATTCTCGAGTCCAAAAGGTTGAATTTGAACTCCCTTTGATTTTCTTCCTATTTCTTTTTCTTTTCTTGACTTTCTCTTCTATCTCTCAAGAAGATAGTTTATCTGGAAGTTTCTCTGTCCTTTGCCTTCCTTCTTTCTTTTGTTCCAGGAACTAATTTGCTTAGGCAACTAATTGTTTCATAAGCTTAAGTGGCCAAGTATAACTCAAACTAATCTTGCTTAGCCTCTAATAAAGAAATTTTCTAAGTAACTCTAGTTTAACGATATTAGTTTAATCTAAGCACCTCATTTAAGGTTTTCTAAATCATCTAAGTCTTCAATTCTCAAGTCCAAAAGGATGAATTTGAATTTCCTTTGATTTTCTTCCTCTTTCTCTTCCATTTCCCTAACTTTCTCTTCTAGCTCTCAAGAAGAAAGTTTCTTTATAACTTTCTCCGTCCTTCTCCCTTTTGTTCTAGAAACTAATCAGCTTAGCTAACTAATTGTTTCATAAGCTTAAGTGGCCAAGTTTAACTCAGACTAATCTCCCTTAGCCTCTAAGAAAGAGAATTTTCTGTGTAATTGTAGCTTAACGATATTTAAGGTTTTCTAAATCACCTAAGTGTTCAATTCTCAAGTCAAAAAGGATGAAGTTGAATTTCCTTTGTTTTTCTTCATATTTCTCTTTCCTTTCTCTAACTTCTCTTCTAGCTCTCAAGAACAAAGTTTCGCTGTAACTTTCTCTGTCCTTCTTTCTTTTGTTCTAGAAACTAATTAGCTTAGGTAACTAATTGTTTCGTGAGCTTAATAATTGGCCAAGTTTAACTCAAACTAATCTTGCCTAGACTGTAAGAAAGGGAATTTTCTGTGTAACCATAGCTTAATCATGTTAGTTTAACTTAAGCAACCCATTAAATATTTTCTAAATCACCTTATTGTTCAATTCTCACGTCCAAAATGATGAATTTGAATTCCCTTGATTCTTTTTTTTTTTTTTTTCCGTTCTTTTTTTTATTCTTTTCTCTAACTTTCTTTCCTTTCTCTAACTCTCTCTTCTAGCTCTCAAGAACAAAGTTTCGCTGTAACTTTCTCTGTCCTTCTTTCTTTTGTTCTAGAAACTAATTAGCTTAGGTAACTAACTGTTTCATCAGCCTAAGTGGCCAAGTTTAAATCAAGCTAATTTTCCTTAGCCTCTAACGAAGAGAATTGTCTGAGTAATTGTAGTTCAACGATATTAATTTATAACTTAAATGCCTCATTTAAGGTTTTCTAAATCACCTAAGTGTTCAATTGTCAAGTCCGAAAGGATGAATTTGAATTCCAGTTGATTTTCTTCCAATTTCTCTTTCTTTTCTATGACCTTCTCTTCTTGCTCTCAAGAAGAAAGTTTCTCTGTAACTTCCTTCATCCCTCTCCTTCATTCTCTCTTTTGTTCTAAGAACTAATTAGGCTTGGTAAATAATTCTTTCATAAGCTTAAGTGACCGAGTTTAACTGAAACTAATCCTGCTTAGCTTCCAAGATACATAATTTTCTAAGCAATTGTAACTTAACGATACTCGTTTAAGTTAAGTACCTCATTTATGATTTTCTAAATTAACCGAGTGTTCAATTCTGAAGTCATAAAGGATGAATTTGAATTCCTTTCGATTTTCTTCATATTTCCCTTTCTTTGCCCTAACTTCTTTTTTTCTTTTTTTCTTTTTCCCAGCTCCGAAGAAGGAAGCTTCTCTGTAACTTTCTCCGTCCCTCTCCTTGCTCCTCTCTTTTGTTCTCCATACTCATTAGCTTAGGTAACAAATTGTTTCATAAGCTTAAGTGGCCAAGTTTAACTCAAGCTAATCTTGCTTAGCCACTGAGATAGCGAACTTTCTGAGTAATTATAGGTTAACGATATTAGTTTAACATAAGCACCTCATTTAAGATTTTCTAAATCACCAAGGTATTCAATTCTCAATTTCACAAAAATTGAATTTGAATTCTCTTTGAATCTCCCCCTATTTCTGTTTCTTTTCTCTAACTTCTCTTCTAGCTCTCAAGATGGAAGGTGTTTCTCTGTAACTCTCTCCGTCCTTCTGCTTCCTTCTCTCTTTTGTTCTAGAAACTAATTAGCTTAGGTGAGTAATTGTTTCATAACCCTAAGTGGCGAAGTGTAACTCAAACTATCCTTGCTTGGCCTCTAGGAAAGAGAATTTTCTGAGTAACTGTAGCTCAACGATATTAGTTTAATATAAGAACTTCATTCAAGGTTCTTGAAATCGCCTAAGTGTTCAATTCTCGAGTCCAAAAGGTTGAATTTGAACTCCCTTTGATTTTCTTCCTATTTCTTTTTCTTTTCTCTGACTTTCTCTTCTATCTCTCAAGAAGATAGTTTATCTGGAAGTTTCTCTGTCCTTTGCCTTCCTTCTTTCTTTTGTTCAAGGAACTAATTTGCTTAGGCAACTAATTGTTTCATAAGCTTAAGTGGCCAAGTATAACTCAAACTAATCTTGCTTAGCCTCTAATAAAGAGAATGTTCTGAGTAACTCTAGTTTAATGATATTAGTTTAATCTAAGCACCTCATTTAAGGTTTTCTAAATCATCTAAGTCTTCAATTCTCAAGTCCAAAAGGATGAATTTGAATTTCCTTTGATTTTCTTCCTCTTTCTCTTCCATTTCCCTAACTTTCTCTTCTAGCTCTCAAGAAGAAAGTTTCTTTATAACTTTCTCCGTCCTTCTCCCTTTTGTTCTAGAAACTAATCAGCTTAGCTAACTAATTGTTTCATAAGCTTAAGTGGCCAAGTTTAACTCAGACTAATCTCCCTTAGCCTCTAAGAAAGAGAATTTTCTGTGTAATTGTAGCTTAACGATATTTAAGGTTTTCTAAATCACCTAAGTGTTCAATTCTCAAGTCAAGGTGGACAAAGCTGTCTGGTCTTTAAACACTGATGGTGTGTTCACAATTAAATCTGCTTGGGAGCTGTGGAGAAATGAACAAGATATTGTACCTTGGTACAATTTGGTCTGGAGCCAATCCACAATTCCCAAAGTCAGTTTTGTTATTTGGCTGGCTATCTACAGTAGGTTGAACACTAGTGATAGACTCCAGTTGTTTGGTATCTCTACTAGTTCAACGTGCCCTTTCTGCCTTGACTATGATGAAAGTCATCCTCATCTCTTTTTCGACTGCGATTTTACTCACAGAATTTGGCATACAATGTAGGGTAAATGCAATGTTCAATGGCAACAGGACCCCTGGCCTGAAATTGTTACTATTGTCAACAGAGAGAGCAAAGGAAAGTCTGTGAAATCGACCATTACCAGACTCTCCTTTCTCTGTACTGTGTATCATGTGTGGATTGAAAGGAATAATCATATTTTCAACAAAGAATGTAAACCAGTTGAGGTTATCATTAATTCTATTGTGCTAATGGTTAGAAGTAGAATGCTATCTGTTAGCAATATTCCTTGTGCAACAGTTGATCATTGGTTCCTCTCTCAATGGAACCTTCCTAACTCTATCTTGAAGCCTCATCCTTGCAGTGATAAGAGGGCTGCTGAGTGATGTGAGTTTAGTATATTGTGAGTTGAGTGGCTGTGAGTATGATATTGAGTGTTTATTTAATCAGCTGCTGCCTGTGTAGGGGTGATTTTATGAAGATTGATTATATTTGTGGGTTGAGTGTGGTGAGACAAATAGTCACAATTTCCTTGAACACATGTGGGTTGAGTGAAGTTAGGATCTATATGTTTTACAAGCTTACCATTATATATATTGTATTTGTTTATGTACAGGTTAAGGAAGCATATTCCGAGTGTAGTGAGGTCTTATATTGTTGGTTGAGTGGGGTGAGCCCAAATAATGTATGTGTCCTTTGTATTTCTACAGTGAGCCTCACTAATAAAGTTTTCTACCTAACATTGTTCACTTGGCAGGTCCTTCTATATTGTTTAGGACATCCAGTCCGTCATGGCACAAGCAGGGACAGTTACTTCAAGCTGGCGCTGGAAAATCCGTGGGTGGAGTTTGTGAGGAATGGTTCGATGGGTTTGGCTGCTTTATGTGCCGTCCAGAAAATTCTGATTGTTCAAAAGCTGATTTTAATTTTTAGTCTTGTATCTAGTATTATGATATACCTTTTTTTGGCCTACTCTAGTGGGATGTACTAGAGACTATATTTTGTTTTTTTGCTACTAGCTTCTGGGTTCACATTGATGGTTTTCAGCATATTTGGGTTTCCTGTTACACTTCTGGTGAACTCTTCAAACTATATGGGTTTGGGGTTGTTCATATCTGGATGGACACCTTGGGTGCTCTCTTTTGTGTCTTTTGGTTGGCTGGTTCTTTATTATTTTTCTTTATTTTGGTTGATGTTAGTTCCTTCGCCTTTGTTCAATAACTATGTCCTTTGAGATAAGTTTTGAACATTTGCATTTTGTTCTCTTCTGTTTATCTCTTGGCTTCCATTGTATAGTTCCGTAGGGCCTGGGGCATGCCCCTTGTAATCGTTGTATATTTTCCTGTTTTATTTATGTCTTATTCACACAAAAAAAAAAAAAAACTGTTAGTTGCCCAAACTAATTAGTTTCTAGAACAAAAGAGAGCGCCATGGAGAAGGGCGAAGAGAGTTAGGGAGAAACTTTCTTCCTGAGCGCTAAAAGAAAAAGTGAGACAAAAGAAAAGGGGAATAGGATGAAATTTTAAGCAAATTGAAATTCAAGCTTTTGGACTTGAGAATTGTACACATAGGTGATTTAGAAAACATGAAATGAGTTCCTTAAGTCAAAGTAATATCGTTATGCTAAAATTACTCCGCAAAATCTCCTCGTTGAATGATAAGCAAGATTAGTTTGAGTTTAACTTGGACACTTAGGTTGATTAAACTAATAATTGCCTAAGCTAATTAGTTAGTGGAACAGAGGAGAGAAGGATGGAGAAGGACGGATAGAGTTAGAGAAAAACTTTCTTCTTGAGTGGTAGAAGAGAAAATTGGAGAAAAGAAAGGGAAATACGAAAAAAATGAAAGCAAATTGAAATGCATCCCGTTTGTAAATCTTAGGTGATTTAGAAAACCTTAAAAGAGTTTCTTAAGTGAAACTAATATTGTTAAGCTAAAATTACTCACTTGGAATTAGAGAAAGATTAGTTTGAGTTAAAATTGGCCACTTAAGGTAATGAACCTATTAGTTGCCCAAACTAATTGGTTTCTAGAACAAAAGAGAGCGCCATGGAGAAGGGCTGAGAGAGTTAGGGTGGAACTTTCTTCCTGAGCACTAAAAGAGAAAGTGAGAGAAATGAAAAGCGGAATAAGGCGAAATTTTAAGCGAATTGAAATTCATCCTTTTGGAATTGTGAATTGAACACATAGGTGATTTAGAAAGAGAGAACGATGAAGAAGGGCAGAGTGAGTTGGAGGGAAAAAAAAAATGAAAGTGAATTGAAATTTATCCTTTTGTAAATGAGAATCGAACACTTGGTGATTTAGGAAACCTTAAATGAGTTCCTTAAGTGAAACTAATATTGTTAAGTCACAATTACTCAGTTGGAAGGAGTGCAAGATTAGTTTGAGTTAAAATTGGCCACTTAAGCTAAGGAAAGTATTAGTTGCCCAAACTAATTAGTTTCTAGAACAAAAGAGAGCGCCATGGAGAAGGGCGGAGAGAGTTAGGGAGAAACTTTCTTCCTGAGCGCTAAAAGAGAAAGTGAGAGAAAAGAAAAGGGAAATAGGGCGAAATTTTAGGCGAATTGAAATTCAACCTCTTGGACTGGAGAATTGTACGCATAGGTGATTTAGAAAACATGAAATGAGTTCCCCAAGTTAAAGTAATATCGTTATGCCACAATTACTCAGCAAAGTCTGCTCCTTGAAAGCTAACCAAGTTTAGTTTGAGTTGAATTTGGCCACTTAAGCTGATTAAACTAATAATTGCCTAAGCTAATTAGTTAGTGGATCAGAAGGGAGATGGACGGAGAAGGACAGATAGAGTAAGAGAGAAACTTTCTTCGTGAGTAGTAGAAGAGAAAGTCGGAGAAAAGAATGGAAAATACAATAAAAATGAAAACGAATTGAAATTCACCCTTTAGTAAATGAGAATTGAACACATAGTTGTTTTAGGAAACCCCCTTTTTTTTTTTGGTGAATAACTTTTAGGAAACCTTAACTGAGTTTCTTAAGTGAAACCAATATTGTTAAGCCACAATTAGTCACTTGGAAGTAGAGCAAGATTAGTTTGTGTTAAAATTGGCCACTTAAGCTAACGAAACTATTAGTTGCCCAAACTAATTAGTTTCTAGAACAAAAGAGAGCGCCACAAAGAAGGGCGGAGAGAGTTAGGGAGAAACTTTCCTCCTGAGCGCTAAAAGAGAAAGTGAGAGAAAAGAAAAGGGGAATAGAGCGAAATTTTAAGCGAATTGAAATTCATCCTTTTGGAATTGAGCATTGAACACATAGGTGATTTGGAAAGAGAGAACGATTTAGGTGATTTGGAAAGAGAGAACGATGGAGAAGGGCAGAGTGAGTTGGAGTGGGAAAAAAAATGAAAGCGAATTGAAAAATTCATCCTTTTGTAAATGAGAATTGAACACTTAGGTGATTTATGAAACCTTAATTGAGTTTCTTAAGTGAAACTAATACCGTTAAAAGTGGTCACTTAAGCTAATGCAACTATTGGTTGGCCAAACTAATTAATTTTTAGAACGAAAGAGAGCGCCATAGAGAAGGGCGGAGAGAGTTAGGGAGAAACTTTCTTCCTGAGCGCTAAAAGAGAAAGTAAGAGAAAAGAAAGGGGAATAGGGCGAAATTTTTTGCGAATTGAAATTCATTCATTTTGACTTGAGAATTGTATGCATAGGTGATTTAGAAAACATGAAATAAGTTCCTTAAGTTAAAGTAATATCGTTATGCTACAATTACTCATTAAAATTTCCTACTTGAAACATAACCAAGATTAGTTTTCTCTGATAATATTTTTTTGTCCCAAGAGCTTATGAGAGGCTATCATCGTCAGTCCATTACTCCTAAATGTGCTATGAAAGTTGACATTATGAAAGCCTACGATACTGTTATATGGGAGTTTATTATTGATGTCCTAAAGGCCATGGCCTTTCTACTCTCTATGATTTCCTGGATTAAGGCTTGTATCACTAGTCCGTCGTTTTCCATTTGTATCAATGGGAGCCTTCATGGCTATTTCAAGGGCACAAGAGGCCTTAGGCAGGGAGACCCTATGTCTCCTTATTTGTTTGTCTTGGCTATGGAAATCCTGGCTAGAATCCTTACTGAGAAATCCAAGCATCATCTTTTTAAATTCCATTGGAAATGTGAGAAGACTAAGATTGTTAATTTGTGCTTTGCTGATGATTTAATGATATTCAGCAAAGGGGATGCATCTACTGTTCAAATGATTATGCATGGGCTTGAGGAGTTCAAGAATCTTTCGGGTCTTACTCCTAGTGCTGCCAAGAGCAACCTATTTTTCTGCGGGTGTGACTCTAGTCTTAGGGAGGAAATTCTTAAGATTGCCAATTTCAAGGAAGGTACCCTCCCTGTCAAGTACTTGGGTGTTCCCTTAATCACCACTAAGTTGAGAGCTTTAGATTGCCAGCAGCTTATTGATAGGATCACTAACCGTATTAAGAGTTGGACCAATAAGGCCCTCTCTTATGCTGGTAGAGCTCAGCTTATTCAAACCATCCTGTTCTCCATGCAAGTCTATTGGTCCTCGTTGTTCATCCTCCCTAAGAAGGTTGTTAGAGAAATTGAAAATTTACTTAGAGCCTTTCTTTGGTCCGGGGTTGATCTGAAAAAGCATAGTGCGAAAATTGCTTGGGATAAGGTTTGTGCTCCCAAGTCTGAAGGTGGTCTGGGTTTTAAATCTCTGGAGGTTTGGAATAGAGCTGCTATTGCCAAACATATTTGGTTCCTTTTCTCGGGGGGTGAGAAGTCGATGTGGTGCCAATGGGTTAAATCTTACTTACTCAAAGGCAAAAGTTTTTGGAAAGTCCCTGTTCCTAGTGACCCTTCTTGGGTTTGGAGGAAGATTCTTTCTCTTAGGAAGTCTATATTTCCTCTCATTGTCCACAAAATTGGGAATGGTAATGCTACCTTTTTGTGGCATGATAATTGGCATCCGGTGGGCTCTATTTGGGACAAATTTGGGAATAGGATTACCTATGATTCTGGTCTCTCTGGGGAGGCTAAAGTGAGCAATATTGTTAATGGGGATTCCTGGAACTGGCCTTTTCCCAAGTCTTGGGAGATGAGAGACCTTATATCGTTGACCCCCCCTTCTTTTAAACCCAGATCTTCGAGTAATGACACTCCTATTTGGACTCTTACTCAAGATGGTATATTCTCCATCCAATCTGCTTGGAACCACTGGAGAGATAAACATGATAAGGTGGCTTGGTATAAACTGCTGTGGGGTCCATTCAATATCCCTAGAGTTAGTTTTATTGTCTGGATTGCCTTACATGGAAGGCTTAACACTGGGGACAGGTTAGAATCTTTTGGTCTGAGTGATAATTTCAAATGCTCCTTTTGCAATCATCACACTGAAAACCACTCACCTTTTGTATTTTCTCTCTTAAGGTTTGGGATGCTATTAAAGTTAAGTGTAATGTAAAGTGGCCTGACATTTTTTGGCCTGATATTGTTCATGTTGCTATGAGGGAGAGTCTGGGTAAATCTCTGAGAGCCATTACTACTAGACTGGCTCTGCTGTGTACTGTTTATCAAGTATGGATTGAAAGAAATAACAGAATTTTTAATAAGGAAATGAAACTTGAAGAAGTTGTTATCAACTCAATTGTTCAAATGATTAGAGGCAGGCTAATGTCATTAAACAATTTGCCTAGATCTGCAGGTGATGAATGGTTCTTAAAGCAATGGAATTTGACTGATTCCATTTTGAAGCCCCATATTGTTCGTATTGGGAGGGCTGCTGAGTGATGGGAGTTTCTCACATGAGAGTTGAGAGTTGGTGAGCTTCATAATGTGGGGTTTCTAACTGTTTGTGTCCTGTGTAGCTCTATGGATTGAGGGTTGAGTGATGTGAGTTATAAACTTCAAATCTGTTAGACATTTTGGTAGCATCAATGGAATATTTGAGGGTTGAGTGAAAATAGCCTACATATGTTTTATTTGCTAACCAGTATATATATATTATCTCTTTATTTGCAGGATAAGGAAGCAGTTTTTGAGTGTTGTGAGGTCCTATACTGTGGGCCGAGTGATGAGATTTTACAATATGTGTGTATTATCCTTCTTATTGGATTTTATTGGGCTTTTGTGATTTGGGTTGTGGTTTCTTGTTACTGGCAGGAAATTCTACTATGTTTAGAGAATGTCTGCCATCTTCACCAAACTTTGGACTGCTTTGCTGTGGTGTTGATGCTTCTGGAGATGCTGTCCGATGCTCTAGTGTATGCTGCTGCTTACCCGATAGGCGCTGCTACCTGCTGGGTTGATAATTGGGAATTTGGTCTGCTGTATTTTAGTTACAAGTGGCTGTCAAGTGCCGATGGCTGCTGGATGCGCCTCGTTGTCTACAAGTTGTCTTCTTATATTACTATCTTCCTTTATGGTGTTTTTAACTTACATTGCACAATATTTTGTTAAGCCTACCCTAGTGGGATGTACTAGGTCTTTTGTTGATATGTCTCGGCCTCATGCCATTACTTTAGTTTCTGGATTGCACATGATAGACTGCTGGATGCGCCTCGTTGTCTCAGGTTGTATGCAGTCGGCTTAGTTGTTGCTGGTTTGTGGTTTTGTGGGTCTGTCATGTCCTTTTGTTTTCGCAATGTTCATTTTCCTTATTTTCTTAGATATAGATACTGAACATTGTTTTTGTTTGCTTATGGTATCTGTTTTGCTGTATAGCTGATTTAGGGCCTGGGGTATTCCCCTTGTAATCTTGTATATTCTTTGTCTTTTATTTATGTCTTATTCACCCCAAAAAAAAAAAACAATATTATTTTGAGTTGAACTTGGCCTCTTAAGCTGATTAAACTAATAATTGCCTTAGCAAATTAGTTAGTGGAACAGAAGAGAGAAGGATGGAGAAGGACGGATAGAGTTAGAGAGAAACTTTCTTCTTGAGAGGCAGAAGAGAAAATTAGAGAAAAGAAAGGGAAATACGATAAAAATGAAAGCGAATTGAAATTCAACCTTTTGTAAATGAGAATTGAACACTTAGGTGATTTAGGAAGCCTTAAATGGGTTTCTCAAGTGAAACTAATATCGTTAAGCTACAATTACTCACTTGGAAGTAGAGCAAATTTAGTTTGAGTTAAAATTGGCCACTTAAGCTAATGAAACTGCTAGTTGCCCAAACTAATTCGTTTCTAGAACAAAAAAGAGCGCCGTGGGGAAGGGCGGAGAGAGTTAGGGAGAAACTTTCTCCCTGAGCGGTAAAAGAGAAAGTGAGAGGAAAGAAAAGGGGAATAAGATGAAATTTTAAGCAAATTGAAATTCATCCTTTTGGACTTGAGAATTGTACACATAGGTGATTTAGAAAACATGAAATGAGTTCCTTAAGTCAAAATAATATCGTTATGCTAAAATTACTCAGCGAAATCTCCTCGTTGAATGATAAGCAAGATTAGTTTGAGTAGAACTTGGACACTTAGGCTGATTAAACTAATAATTGCCTAAGCTAATTAGTTAGTGGAACAGAAGGGGGAAGGATGGAGAAGGACGGATAGAGTTAGAGAAAAAACTTTCTTCTTGAGTGGTAGAAAAGAAAATTGGAGAAAATAAAGGGAAATACGAAAAAAATGAAAGCAAATTGAAATGCATCTCTTTTGTAAATGAGAATTGAACACTTAGGCGATTGAGGAAACCTTAAAAGAATTTCTTAAGTGAAACTAATATTGTTAAGCTACAATTACTCACTTGGAATTAGAGCAAGATTAGTTTGAGTTAAAATTGGCCACTTAAGGAAATGAACCTATTAGTTGCCCAAACTAATTGGTTTCCAGAACAAAAGAGAGCGCCATGGAGAAGGGCTGAGAGAGTTAGGGTGAAACTTTCTTCCCGAGCACTAAAAGAGAAAGTGAGAGAAATGAAAAGGGGAATAAGGCGAAATTCTAAGCGAATTGAAATTCATCCTTTTGGAATTGTGAATTGAACACATAGGTGATTTAGAAAGAGAGAACGATGAAGAAGGGCGGAGTGAGTTGGAGGGGGAAAAAAATGAAAGTGAATTGAAATTTATCCTTTTGTAAATGAGAATTGAACACTAAGGCGATAATTGAACACATAGGTGATTTAGAAAGAGAGAACGATGAAGAAGGGCGGAGTAGTTGGAGGGAAAAAAAAAAATGAAAGTGAATTGAAATTTATCCTTTTGTAAATGAGAATCGAACACTAAGGTGATTTAGGAAACCTTAAATGAGTTCCTTAAGTGAAACTAATATCGTTAAGTTACAATTACTCAGTTGGAAGGAGAGCTTTCTTCTTGAGAGGTAGAAGAGAAAATTAGAGAAAAGAAAGGGAAATACGATAAAAATGAAAGCGAATTGGAATTCAACCTTTTGTAAATGAGAATTGAACACTTAGGTGATTTAGGAAGCCTTAAATGGGTTTCTCAAGTGAAACTAATATCGTTAAGCTACAATTACTCACTTGGAAGTAGAGCAAGTTTAGTTTGAGTTAAAATTGGCCACTTAAGCTAATGAAACTGTTAGTTGCCCAAACTAATTCGTTTCTAGAACAAAAGAGAGCGCCATGGAGAAGGGCGAAGAGAGTTAGGGAGAAACTTTCTTCCTGAGCGCTAAAAGAGAAAGTGAGAGAAAAGGAAAGGGGAATAGGATGATATTTTAAGCAAATTGAAATTCATCCTTTTGGACTTGAGAATTGTACACATAGGTGATTTAGAAAACATGAAATGAGTTCCTTAAGTCAAAGTAATATCGTTATGCTAAAATTACTCAGCAAAATCTCCTCGTTGAATGATAAGCAAGATTAGTTTGAGTTGAACTTGGACACTTAGGCTGATTAAACTAATAATTGCCTGAGCTAATTAGTTAGTGGAACAGAAGAGGGAAGGATGGAGAAGAACGGATAGAGTTAGAGAAAAAACTTTCTTCTTGAGTGGTAGAAAAGAAAATTGGAGAAAATAAAGGGAAATACGAAAAAAATGAAAGCAAATTGAAATGCATCTCTTTTGTAAATGAGAATTGAACACTTAGGCGATTTAGGAAACCTTAAAAGAGTTTCTTAAGTGAAACTAATATTGTTAAGCTACAATTACTCACTTGGAATTAGAGCAAGATTAGTTTGAGTTAAAATTGGCCACTTAAGGTAATGAACCTATTAGTTGCCCAAACTAATTGGTTTCCAGAACAAAAGAGAGCGCCATGGAGAAGGGCTGAGAGAGTTAGGGTGAAACTTTCTTCCTGAGCACTAAAAGAGAAAGTGAGAGAAATGAAAAGGGGAATAAGGCGAAATTTTAAGCGAATTGAAATTCATCCCTTTGGAATTGTGAATTGAACACATAGGTGATTTAGAAAGAGAGAACGATGAAGAAGGGCGGAGTGAGTTGGAGGGGAAAAAAAAAATTAATGCGAATTGAAATTTATCCTTTTGTAAATGAGAATCGAACACTAAGGTGATTTAGGAAACCTTAAATGAGTTCCTTAAGTGAAACTAATATTGTTAAGTTACAATTACTCAGTTGGAAGGAGAGCAAGGTTAGTTTGAGTTAAAATTGGCCACTTAAGCTAAGGAAAGTATTAGTTGCCCAAACTAATTAGTTTCTAGAACAAAAGAGAGCGCCATGGAGAAGGGCGGAGAGAGTTAGGGAGAAACTTTCTTCCTGAGCGCTAAAAGAGAAAGTGAGAGAAAAGAAAAGGGAAATAGGGCGAAATTTTAGGCGAATTGAAATTCAACCTCTTGGACTGGAGAATTGTACGCATAGGTGATTTAGAAAACATGAAATGAGTTCCCCAAGTTAAAGTAATATTGTTATGCCACAATTACTCAACAAAGTCTGCTCCTTGAAAGCTAACCAAGTTTAGTTTGAGTTGAATTTGGCCACTTAAGCTGATTAAACTAATAATTGTCTAAGCTAATTAGTTAGTGGATCGGAAAGAAAGAAGGTATTTCATCAACTAGATGGTTTGCTTCTTCAAATTTATTTGATTTAGCATCTCAGTGTTTTGCATCTGAATTTAGATCATGCCCTAGTCCTTTTTTTGAAATTTTAATTTTTACGTTCTTTCTTTCTTCAACTGAATTTAAACATGCTTAGGTTCTAGGTATTGTGTTTGCACGTGGGCCAGTAGTAGCTGTGCTGATCCATTTGGAGTTGGATGGCAAGACTTATGCTGTGCTTTTTTTTGGGTAAGTAAGTCATAAAATAAAAACAGTAAAGTGTACAAGTTTACAAGGGGCATACCCCAGGTACGCCCTACAATAAATAATAAAAAACAACAGAAACTACCACTACAACAGAAAACAACAGACAACACCGAATACACATGATCCCCCACTTTGCCCATATATCCTTTTTGTCCCCAAGTAACCCTTACCATCAGAGACAATAGATGGAAACTTAGGGTGGATATATGGGCAATAAACAAAACATAACACAATGCTTATAACACAACAGACACTCACAAAACAAAACAACAACCCTCAAGCCGAATCGAAGATGAAAACCAACCCCGAAAACTCCCAGTCTTTATTGTAGATAAACGCATGGAATCCAATAAGCAACCCACTCCTCATAACCGTGACATCCAAGCCACTTAACCAAAGTCGTGACAGAGGAAAAAATCTACCCCATGAGAAATCACAACAAAGTCACATGAAGCTAGCACGATCAGTAACCATAATCCGCGGTCTTGGGAGTTGTAGTGAAAATCAATAGCCCCACAGCAACAGACCAATACATAGCTAACAAAAATCATGAGAGCAATCATCACATCCCCCAGTCCCTTCCT